AGGAGGAGGAGGAGGAGGAGGGGGGAGGTGGCTGGCTTTGTGCGCCTCCCAGGCAGCGCAGATGCGGAGTAAACGGCCGTTGGAGCAAACAGGACTATAACCGTGACAGGAGTCAGCTACTTCCCCTTTGAGGAAACTAAAGCAGATCTTTGATCGGTTCTTCTTCGAACTTTTCCTTCGTTTTCCTGGAAAGTGAACCTGGATAAAGCCTGGAACTTTCTACCCGCCTGGAAGCTGAAGGGAAAAGGTAACTTTCCCTCATGTTGGGCTGACTGCGCACTAACCTGCATGATGTTGCTTTGTTTCAGGACAGTCTGTTGTTGGTTTCATGTCCCTCTGTGGGTTTGGAGAAGCTTTCTGAAGCTTTTCCGTGAAGTTAGGAAGGTTGGTGGAAGTAAAGTCCAGCAGGGTGACAATGAGATCTGCATCTCATTTGAATCTCAAATATTCCCTGCAGACAATCAGCTGCTGCCTGGATCTCTGATCAGGATCAGGATCAGGATCAGGATCAGGATCAGGATCAGGATCAGGATGGTCCCAGATGGAGGAGCAACAATCACTCCTCTTTCTGTCCTCCATCAAAGTTCAATCCTAGTTAGGTTAGGTAGACATGTTCATTAGCTTCACCTCAACTTTATCAAAAATAGAAGCCAAATAACTTTTAGATCATTACAAATAATCCAAGTAGGTAAAAAAAATAAACATTTAAAAGTCACTTTAACACAATTGTTTTATGTCCTACCCTGCTAACATGAAACAGTGTTAAAATAACTAAATATGATTATGTAAATAACCAAAAACGGTTGCATTATTTTTTCAGCATGGTACCGGGCCATCTCTAGAACCCAAAGCTCAATTTAAGTTTTCTGCCTTGAAACAGATATTTATTTATTTATTGTTTACATTATTATTATTTAAATCTGGTAATAACCATAAAACCAATTGAATAATTAAATGAGATTATTTCCTTATGTGAAACAACAAAGCATGTCTTCATTTATGATATACTCCCTTTATTTTCCTGCCTTTGCTCAATAATGCTGATGCAGATTCTCAGTCATCCAGGTCATAGTCATTCCAAAAAAAGTTAAAAATCAATCCACTGGAATTTGTTTCCAAGTTTAAATATGTTTCTCTTCCCATTCAGGAAGCTTTTTCAATTCAAAATGTCAGAAATCGCGTGGAGTTTGAGGCTTTATAGAGTAGGCTATAAAGTATAAAGCCTGGAGCTCAACAATATTTCTGACATTTTGAATTGAGAAAGCTTCCTGGATGGGAAGCGAAACATCTTCAAACTTGAAACAAAGTCCAGTAAATTGTTTATTTTAAACTTTCTTATTAAATAATTACTTCAAAATGCTTTCAATAAGGCATGAAAACCAAAAGACGACCACCAAACCGTAAAGTGAATGTTGTTTGGTATTTACGTTTAATGAGCTAAAGCTAATGTGTCTGTAAAGGCTGATTTATACTCAGAAACAGGTCGTCTGCTTGTGTGTCGCAGTGAACGCAAATGAGACCCCGCCCCTTCCGCAGACACTCTGCTGCACCTCTCCAAAAATGTTAGTGACCTGCAGACAGGAGGCCTCTGATTGGTCAAATCTACATCCGCTCTACACTATGCATATTTCCTGTCTGTCCTTCTTATGATGTCACATATGGCAACTCCACTCGGACAAACTCTGTTGCACCCGTTTCTTAAGGATCGAATCTCTTTTGTAGTTTCAACATATTATTACCTACATTTGCTATTATTTTACATTTCATTGGCGATCTAAAGTAGCCTAGAGTAGAAAACAATCATCGTCAGTCTTGAACTAAAGTACTGCCGTTCTGCCATTTAACGAGGTGACACAAAAAGTTTCAGTTTATTTTTATTCTTTTTATTAAGATCTGAGTGCAGGGAAGGAAACATTTTGTAGAGATTTTAGACGAAGAAAACAACAAGTTATTCTACTTGTACAAAACGAGCGGTTGTTGTTGATACATGTTAAAAGTAGTGTAGCTTAATATGGCTAACTGACCGAGCTAAAATGTGTTAGCTACTGAGCACAGCTAGCCACAGCGCTAACAAAGTCTCCCCCTTTATATCATGGTCTAACAGTTACTTTGTTCACCAAAAACAAATTTTTTTCAGTTTTCTTATCGATCAGGTAAAACTTGATCGGTCATTAGGTACGCTAACGGATGTTATTATCGTTGTCTGCGCAACCGATATGTTTTACATCATGTAGCAACATTCAGCAAATTGTATAGCGTAACATCACTGGCATGAAGCAGGAAACGAGCAGATCCGGTACCTTACCGGCTTGTTTTGTTTGTATGTCCGCCATTGTGGAAAACGAGTCGTGAAGATGGACCAGCTAGAAGAGCGAGGCGCGCGAGAACGCTGGGACCCTTTTTCCTCCTGGATCCTCGCTTTTTTTGGCTCTTATGCCCTTCCATTGTCACGCGATCTTGCCCCTTTTAATTTTTCCCCCTTCCTCACCGCCTCGGCCGTATCTAGATCCACAGCTACTTCCTAATTGTCCTTCTTGCGTTGTGGCATGGAATTACATAGCGCACACCACGCTTCAAAATTGCGCATAAATTTAAATATATCTGCGACACACTGCTGCGGGAGGATAAGCAGCCCACTCCAGGCTAGCTATGTTCACAGAGAGCTCCACTGGTAAAAGGCTCTTATACCTAATAGGGGTGGAACTGTTCACAAAATCCACGGTTTGGTTCGGTTCACGGTTTCGTGGTCACGGTTTTCGGTCNTTTTTCTTACTTTAAATGTAAATGATCTTGTTCCATTGGCAAAGTGTCTCAATTACCTCCTCAATTCAAGAAAAAACGCACTTATTTTAAGAAAGAATTACTTATTAAGATTGAAATTTTTTGCAGCGCAGCCAACACCTCTCTGAAGGGTGATGGAGAGAAGCCTCTCTTTCACTGTTCACATTCACTGGAATATAGTTTCTACGAAAAAAAAAGAAGGTATATCAGGGATTTAAGGCAACTTAAAACTGTGAAAATATAGAAATGCTTACCATTTCTTTTATTTTTTTTGTTCTGACCCCATCTGACAGGTTTTCATTAAAGCAAAACAAAATCCCTGAATATAGAATGTCTTAGTGTAGCATTGCCATGCTATGTGCAAAGCAGTCTGAACGAGAAAACACTAAGGAAGCAATAAAGAATAGTAAAAAAATAAAAAATAAAAAAGCCTGCTTCCTGCAGTGACACCATCAAAGTTTTGTTCCGGTCTGGAAACACAGCACTGTTCTCAAAGACGCAGTAAATCCCCATAAAATGTTGCCCCACTAATTGGCTCATCATTTATAAGACCTATAATGATACATTTACATGTGGGAAAAATCTTTGTTTGATAGATGGTTGGGGAAGAGAAACGTAATGAGTTGGGTTAAGGTTCACACCTGATGACCAGATGGTTGCTTTAAACACTTCAGCTCATGCTGGTTTAAAAGAGTCTTTGTGTTTTTTTACACACTATATGTAATAATTATGATAGCCTAGAGTTAAAAAAACAAAAAACAAAAAAACCATATTATTACATCTCAGAAATAGCAGAGATTATTTCTCTCCTTCTTAGTGAGACAGATAATTTGGGATTTTTAATACAGTTAAATTTTACAGTCCCTTGAAAACAAATGGATTCCCTTTAAAGCCTTTTCACTGTCCCACCAAATCTGATCTCCATACATATTTCCATCAGGTTTGACCAACTTCTTTGTCCCTTTTGCAAAAACACCTCCCCACAGCGTGATGCTGCCACCACCGTATTTAACCATGGTGTCAAATGTTGCAATACTAGTGCTTTTCAGCACAGATTATTTTGAAAGTAGAGATAAGCAGCTTCTATGTCATGTGCTGCTGTGGCTTCTTTTAGCTGAAAACAACAACCTAGCTTTTATTCTTCTAATACTTTTACTCTACTTATGGATATATTTTTAAACTCCACTGGGAAACCAAACATGGGTCCAAGAAACCTTCATCCGACCAGAATTACTTTGATTTTTCTGTGCTACACATAGTAGTGATATTTCTGGTTTTAAATTAAAAGCCTGTCTTTGTTTTGAGCATGGGTGGTTCTAGAAACGGAAAGAAAGGGGACTGTGTCCCTGTAGAACTGGTCTTGGCCCCTGTTACGGCCCCTGCACTGAAACCATGCCCTGCAAAGTTTAAATATAAGCAAAGGTGGGTAGAGTACCCAAATGTTTTACCTAAGTAAAAGTAACACTACATCATAATATTTTTACTAAAGCAAAAATAAAAAGAAGCTTTTAAAGAAATTCCAAAAAAACAAACAAACAAAAAAAAAAAAAAAA